AGAATCCAGAGAAAGTCTCCCAGCTGCCTCCTAAGAGGGACTGATGACTTTACCTTCAGCTGGCTCACTACTAACATGTGTATTTGTTGTCTTACCACATGATTCTATACTTGTTATAAAGCAAAGTCCCTTGTCTCTTGTTCAACTTTATTACAGGGGTGTTGACCAGAGATTTGGGTCTCCGCATATTCAAGTGCGTAGTTGTCCTATAAAACACTCCCGGCAATGTCAGTTGTTATTCATCCCCGTGGCAAAATGGAAACTAGGTGCCTTGTTTTGGGAACAAGAGTGATTCCCGTATCCCAAGACCCCTGAGTGAGAGGTTTCTGAGTTCCTTCCTTATTTCTGTCCTGCAGAAACATCTAGGGGAAGCAAGTATTTTTAACATGTAGCTTCTTCCAACCAACTTCTGCATATATAGCTACCTGTAGAGATCAGGGTCTCTTCAAAGAATAGTAAGGAAAGTAAGACCCTGAGAAATCATTTCCTGGAACTGCTATCTCTGTTGCCTTGAGCATGAGATTTATCTTCTTTGCCAGGCGATCTCTGTCCTACTCACTTTCCTCTCCCATAAACCCATGGGAGGCACCTTGCCGACAGAGATCACGTCCTTCATTTAAAAAAAAAAAAAGTAAAAAAAAATTCTTCCGAGAGATAAAAACAATGGGAAAGGGAGATGCTTCAGAGACATTGATTCAACACTCACTAGAGCAATATACCTGTGACAAGTAAGAAGGATTACGATGCTTTGTGTAACACCCTGGGAACTCCCCATAGCACAATTGATCAATGGAAAACATCTGCAGCAGCATAAAGTTTTTCAAGAGAAAGAGTCAGTTGCTTGAAAAGATCACTATTCATCTCTACTTACCAAGAGAGATCAAAAAATCAGTTACACAGTGTAAGCTAATAGTCTAGACTCTTTAATAATAATATTAGACACAATGGTTTTAGATAAAGTACTAATTTTTTTGAAATTCTACATTACCATTATTAATTTTAAGCCACAGTATAAATCACAGCACCTTAACCTCTGAGATCTCCTACCAAGATCATGGAAGTGAAAATTTCACAGTATTATTGTTTCCAACATATTAATATTTCTTCAAAAATAGGCTCTTAAGCTCACATAAAAATATTAAAAGCTTTTATCACAGAAGGAGGAAAAATAGTTAATTTTTGTTAAGTAGTGTGACTTTTTCTTGAATTGACCCGGATATACGTAGACTTGAACGTCTCTAATTCAGAAACTGGTTCTTCAGCTCAAGAAAAAAGATTCCCCATCTAATCTAAATCTGCAAGATCTTGTTCAGCCTCAGTTTATGACTAGTTCAGAGGAATAATGGTAGTGGTATATTGTAAGGATTTTATGATACCTTTTGACATTCAAGTAGATTATGCTCCTTGAGGGGTGAATAAAAGACAAGACCATGTTGTTTTTCTTTAAGCTGCTTAAAAATAGGTATTTTCAGATGCTTATTAATAAAGAGAATTCCACTTTAGGATAAAATTTTGTAGAGAACAATTTTTTTCAGCTCCTAACAACTTTGATGTTAAAGACAGGCAAATTTAAATATGTGCAGTGACAATGTTTGCCTTTATTTAAAGTGTTTTCCAAGGTCCTGTGTACTGATAAATTCTGGCTGTTATTCAAAATGTGATACTAACATGTAACCCAATATGGACATGGAAACTGCAAGATATAAATTTTTATATTTTTTAAATTACCTCAGTCTTCATTTCAAACTGGCATAAGCCTTTTATATTGAATTATGAAAATCCAAGAGGTAGCTGAACCATCTCTTCAACATGGTATGGGTTTGCAGTAGATCCTCCTGAGTTGTTTTTTTTTTTTTTCTTCCTGTCCTGATGCAGTATTATATTGAGAGTACTGTGATTATAGCCTGAGATTTAGAGTTTTCCTGACTAGGCTTTTCATCTGCTTGATCTCCATATAATTCATTCAGAGCAACCTAGTAGAACAGAGCCTGCATCCTGCTGATAGATGTTTTTGCAATTTGTTTTTAGATGTGATTTAGCTTTCGTTTTCATTCACTGACCCAGGTATCTGCCAAAAATATGTGTTTGCTATACCTCATTGTATTTTATGCTTTTGTATTTTCACTCTTCCACTGGAGAATGTTGTAGTATATTTTGTTAGTTTTGCTCCCTTCCCGATCCCTCTTTTCATACTGCAGGGAACATTTCATCCTATTACAGTTACAGTAAAAAAGGTTGTCCGGGGCCGCCTTCTCAGCTTTTATTAGCTTTTCTAATGTTACAGTGTACTTTAGGGTCCCACTGCCGTCCTCTGCTTGAGACAATAACTTTAAGGGGCCTTACTAGCAGATTTTTTTCTCAAAGCATACCAGCTCCTCAATGGCATGCTTCTCTCTTCTGTTACAACAATGTCATCGACAGCTTACGCTAGAGGTGTGAATTCTTCTTATTTACTGTCTTAAAAAACATGAGCAAATTAAATTCTACTCCAGAAGGAAAAGAACAGTAATGATGAGGCAACTGAGAAATGGGGGAAATTTTCTAGGGCTCAGTCTAAAGGCAGTCTCAAAGAACTTTCCATTTTTGGAAAGTGAACTTAGACTAAATTGTAGCAGTTTTGAGAATTTTATTTTTGAGAATTTTACTTTTGACATGTAAGTAATCATAATTTTAAACTTGCTTCTTAAAAGCTTTCATTGTATATCATTCAAAAAAACCCCATCCAAATGAATATTATGTTTCATCTTGACTATTTTTCTTTTGATATATCTTCCAGTTGCTTAAAGTCTACAGAGGCATGATGCCTGTTTATAGCTTAACAAACTACCTTGAGATCCACCAGCTTAAGTGATCAGAGGTTTTGCTGCCTCTTGAAATTAGATTCTAGTGTCTGACTTAAAAGAGGGACTTTCCCTTCCTATGTAATACTAAAAAAGTTATCATTCTGTTATGAAATCTCAGTATTTCACAAACCACTTTCTAGACGTAGGATTTCACATGAACAGTGTATACAGCAATACAAATATTATAATAGTCTTTGAAACTTACCTCTCAAAGAGACCAAGAAAATATCATTAATTGCCATCTATGCTGCAGTTATGTCCAGGTTTCCCCTATCTGTCCTGCTAAACTAATTAAAGCAGATAGCAGTATTTTTAACTTAAATGAAAGCAGGTATTGATATAATTTTAATTTGGCAACGGCAGACAATATTTCCTATTTTGACCTTGTTCAAGTGCAGATTTGGGTGAATGGAGGGTACGGTGGGAAAATCCGAAATCACCTGAAATATTTCCTCCTATATTTTGGTGCAATTAAATGAGTTGTAGAAAAGCATTTAAATCCTTCGCCTCATGGACTCTATCAGGGTCCTCTTCAAAGTGTCTGACAGCAACAGCAGTCACTCCTTTACTTTAACTGGAGTTTTGATTAAACTTGCAAGCATATATCTTCAGAGGCATGTAGGCATTTAATGATTTTTAGGTGTTTAATTAAAAACACTGAAGGGCATTTAGATGATTGAGTCCAGATTCTCAAAGGCATTTCTGAATTTTATGAACTTCTAAATGAATTTATGATTTAATCTATACTAGCTTACGACTTTAAAGGCCAATATCTCATTTATACAGAGGCCAATGTTTTCAGGTGAAAGTAATCAAGCTCTTTATATTACCAGTGTGAGATCAATGGGTTTTGAGGTTGCATCAGTAAAACGTGCTTGTACTTAGAATTACTGGGGTTAACCAGTGCAGCCTTCATCCCTGAGTTAGGTATGCATGATGCTTCTGCAGTGCTGGGAGAACAGATTGCCTAAATGTAATATTTGTTGGAGCAGAATTTATTGGTCTTCTGCCTTCTTGTTCAAAGTCTGTCAGAGAAGCGGTCAGGTGCCTGTTCTGGTGCAGAATGAGCGGGGCAAGGAGGCATATGGGTGATGTGAACTGGGGTGGATTAGGGCAAGGCCATCTAGTCATGAAACTGCCAGGCTGGTGAGCTGTGGGGAAGGATTAGATGCACACCAGGTAAGGTTATCAAAACAAGGATTTTTATGTGCTTATGCACCCCTGAAACGAGTCAAATCTTTCACAAAGCTGTATGGGAGAAATAGCATATTGTGGGTTTTTCTTTTCCTCATTAAATTTTCATTCCCATATACAGCTTTGATTTGGTTACATTGGAAGTTGTCTAAATGGTGATGCTGGGATGACTGTGTTTCTCTGTGCCTGTGAATGATCAAGACATCCTTCCTGTTGATCAATAGTAGTGGATAAAATTAATTTTCTTTTTTTGTGCATGTGTTGCGTAGTCCAAAAAAATCAAACTTGCTCAATTTACATGTAAAACATAAGCAGAGCAGATAAAGACAACATGCTTTATGTTACAGCTTCAAAAATTTGAATTTTGAAGATATGTAAAAAACTAGTCCTGTGTTGCAGCAGTTCTTTCCTATTCCACTGGAAGGCTAGGAAGAAGGAAGAGGGGCACTGGGAAAATATTTTATACATGGTTGTATCACACATGAAAAAGAATTAAGGTTGCCAGGAATGGGAAATGACAGATATAAAGACTTTCAGATATTTGATTTTTCAAGTCTTATAAAATATTCTTAGATATTTTCCCTAGCTTCCCGCTTTTTTTAGAGGAAAAAAGGAAACTTTCCCTATATATCCCTAAGGAAAGTTTTTGAAGATCTATAGAATTAATGATTCAGAAGAACGATTAGTTGTGTCACCTCTTATCAAAGATCATTGCATTTTATTTAAATATCCCTGTGTTGAGTCTAGTAACTTGTATTTGACTGAAGCAGACCCTTTGCAAAGCAACACATCTTGATATGAAGACAACAAAACATGGAAATATTACCCCTTTCTTGTGTAATTTTTTCCCAATAGTAATCAACTTAGCTGTTAGGAAAAATGTGTCATTGTTTCTAAGCTGAGTTTGTCTTTTTTAGAGTTTTACATATTTGTCTTTGTTATGCCTTTCCTTGTAGTCTGAAAAACTCTTCAGTACCTGCTATCTTCTCCCTGTGAGGTCTTCAGACACTGTAATCAGGTCACCTCTTGGTGCTCTTTTTGATAAACTAAATGTGCTGAGCTCTTTAAGTTACTCACAGAAAGAATTTTCTCCACTTTCTCTTCTCTTATTTTTTGGTGCTTTTTATGCAACCATTCCAACTTCCCATAGCTTTTTTTTTTGGCAGTAGGAACAAGACAACAGTTCCAAACATCAAAGAGTGATGTCTATAGAAGTAAAACCATCTTTCTACTACTACCTTTCAGACATTTAATGGAATTTAGTCTATTTTAGCAGAGATTTGCAATTTGAGTGTTTAGTGAACTTTTGTTCAGTCTTACAGCCAAGATACACTTGGAGATGATATTTCTTCTTCGTTTTTTTTAACCAGTAAGAAAGTTCCTAGTTTGTTAATATGTCTTATATTTGTTTTCTAGCCATATACTCTCATGCTTGTGTTTGAACAGTACCTTAAGGGCTATAATTCAACTTACAGGATAGACAGCCTCCCTTCCTGGAAGGCCTGTTGAGGAGATTGATCTGGTGAGGGGGCAGAAGCCCAGCCCTGACTGATGGGTTGGTACGCGGGTGAGAAGGATTTACTCTCTTTTCCCTTACAGTTTTCTTTTCTGTGCTTCAAGCCAGCATTTGGTATTATTTTCTCAATAAGTCTTAATTAGAGTATTTTAGAAAAAAAAAA